TTTTCCATAATACCTACCTACTGCCCGACCTAGGGCTACATTAGACTATTTGGTTTTGAGGACTGAGGTTCTTTGAATCATTTGTGGCATGTGGGATTTTGAGGGTTTTCTTTTGACTGCCTTCAAGGCTTTCTATACCATTGTGTTAGAACTGAAGTCAGTGAAATTTATAGCGGTTTGTCGGCACTGTTTTAAACGGTTTTACTGCAAAGAAAATGTTTCGTTTGATTCGAGAAATAACTACCCGTCCGTCTGTCTCTGTGCGTGTGTGTTAGCAACGGTGATAAGTTAAAGGTGTCTGTCTCGCATACACACATTATAGCGCCACGGCGCGAGACGGAGATTACCAGAAAGGTGTAATAAAGCCGGATGGTGCGGGCCATTAATCAGGATATAGTCGCGCTGCGCACCGGGCCAGTTAGGGCCGAGTCTGGCCTCCGCGCCATCACAGCAGCCTGGGAACGGCAGTCGCCGGGTCTGAGCCGCTCCAGGACGGGACGAGCACAAAAAGGCGGCGAGGATTAGCCGCGCCTGTGACCTGTGAGAAGGCTGGGAACGACCGGGACAGTGCCGGGCGACAGAGCGAGCCCGCCACTCCCACACAGGGAACTACGGCTACCGGCTAGTGAACTACTGACAGGCAAACCGAGTCCGAATATCTTAGCTTGAACCGACTGTCTCGTCGTAACCATCTACCTAGCCGTTTTGTAGGCAATTGCAGTATAGGTTACCTTATGCGTCTATATTTCATCATGCATTTTCGCAGCATTTTAATCGACTAGGAATTGCAGCCCCGACAGAATATCTTTCGGTGTGCAGAAATGGATGAATATTAGGTAATATCTCGATGAGCTTTGTATCTCGAGTTTTATATCTCGATAATGAGACGTTAAAGAAAGAGGGTTAGAGAGCGAGAGAGAGAGGGGGGCAGGAGTTGAGAGAGAGATATGATAAAAGTGAGAGATAGTAGGTAATTTTACTGCATCCGCAGGAATGGATTTTCTCAACAGCCCGTCTCCCAGTGAAAAACAGCTCCGAGAATATTATTATGCCGGCAACGTTGTCGGATTTTTATTCGCTCGTTTAGCATCATGTATTCTGGCTATCTGGTTAATCTGGCAGTTGGTGGTGACGTGTATGAATTCGACCCTTTTAGCGTGTCAGATTTATGACGCATGCAAATGAAACAGCGGAAATTGAACAGTAAAATGTGTTTGTGCGAGTGTGTGCGAGAGAGCCGGGAGGAAGAGAGGGAGAGAGAGAGTTGGGGAGAAAGGAACGGGGGAAAGAGGAAAAGGAACAGAAGGAGAGGGAGAGCGAGCGAGAGAGAGAGAGAGAGAGAGAGAGAGAGAGAGAGAGAGAGAGAGAGAGAGAGAGAGAGAGAAAGAGAGAGAGCGAGAGAGAGAGAGTGAGAGAGAATGAGAGAGGGGAGGAGGAAAAAATTGATAAATCAACTGGGGATCGGTCGCATCATTCGGCACCACCTCCGTCTCCATTCACCGTCCCGGGCCGCCAACCGTCTAGGCTAGCAATGCATTCCATCTTGATCCACCCGTTTGCTCCGTCCCCATGAGGGTGAAGTGGGCGTGTGCCCATGCCACCCTCCACACACCCATTCCGTCCACCCGTCCACTCTATCCCCCACCCGTCCATGCTCCGTCCCCCCGTCCGTCCATGCTCCGTCCCTACTCCGTCCACCGTCCACCCGTCCTCCCCGTCCCCCTTCTGCTCCGCCGCCCCGTCCCCTCCGGAAGGCAGGCAAAGATCAGGGCCTGTTTGTCACCAATTTGTCGAGTCAATACCGTGTAGCCGCGATGGTATAAGCAAACACTGTGCCAACGGGCGACGGTTGTCCGCCGCCACTGACACCGGTAAACAACCCCGGGAACGGCCGGAGGAATGCAATCGAGGCATAGCGGAGGGAGGGGCTGAATGATATGGGATCAACAACGCAGAGCAGCGTATACTGACAATGGACATGGATTGTTCACATACCAGTAGTTGTGTTTTATGGTCTGGGCTGTGATTTGTGACCGGTATCGGAAATGCTGCCCCTTTTTAATTGGTCACCCGGTGGCTTTATTTTCTCGTCTTATTCGATATACGTTGCAAGTGTTCATTTTAGCGTGCGATAGACCCAGCTAGTCACATCATCAGTCGCCCTCTTCGCGACTGTAATACGTGGTTCATGACAGGTCTCATGTATTCTCGCGGTGCATGGGTGGTGAGTAAAACGCGTAAGCCACCGCTGCTATACCCGTGGAGTTTTGACGGCCGTACTGTGATTCAGGGGCGGAGCTCCCTATAAAGTTGGTGGGGCGGTTGCCCCACCAACCTGCCATTTTGCCCCACCAATTAGCATTTTACCCCACCAACTTTAGCTGATTTGGAGGACTTGGTTGTTTTGCAAATAAATCTTTTTCGCATTGAGGAGCTTTGAAATGCCTGTTTAATGCAAAATATTACATCTGTAATCATAGGCGCAGGAACAGGGGGCCGGGGGACCATGGCCACTTTTCAGCCATTTCTATAGCAAAATCTTTATTTTTTCTTCAGGGGAGAGTGGGGTAAAATAATCACCCAGGGCAAAGCAGCCACCCATCACTTTAGCCCCCCCCCCCCCCCACAGCTGGCATCAGCTCCAATTTATATGGTTGCCAATTATTTTTCCCTTCGCGGTCGCTCAAATGAGTCAGACCGGAGTTTCCGACCCATCGCCATTGTTCTGCGATACACGGAAAAACAGTTTTTACCAGGTTACTAATCATTTTTATCGGAGCTATCTTTTAACTATTTTAATGTTTTTACCCACTTATAGCTGAGCTGAAATATTTTTATCTCGGAAAGTATGCTCGGGGCAAAGCGGACGGGGCAAAGTGGCCAGCTCCGTATTAGCCATAAGTTGTTTCCATCTGGACAAAAAGGTTATTGATATAGAAATGTGTCTTCATGCATTCATCTTGGCGACTTCTTGGTTACGTGAGTTACCAAATAATGCAAATAAATGTTTTTACATGAATGTCTTTTCTATGTTTACCTGCGGGAAGATGGCAAATTAAATATATCACATTGGCAACTTAAATATCCATCATCGTTTAAATATTGCACCATCAAATACCCTAGTCGTACATGATACAACTATTCTGGGAAGATGGCAAGATGGCAAATTAAATCTGGGGTGGGAGGGTGCCAAAGTTAACATTCATCCTCGTTTAAACATTGTCAACATCAAGTACCCTATAGTCGTACATGAGACAACTATTCTGTTTTTCATATCGGAACTTGAGAAGTCGGCGGTGGCCGCTTTGCCCCATGGTATGGGGCAAAGTGACCAACATGCACTATAGATTTAAAGTTTAATCAATATCTCCCATATGTGAACGCCTTTGGAAGTAAATCGCATTTGAAATAAAAGACAATTACAATAGGGCTCACATTGGCATAGCAAGGATCTTTCCAAGTTTCAAAACCAAGCTTCGGCATCGTAAGAAGCGTTAGGGTGGCCGCATTGCCCCACTCTCTCCTACAGGTCCCCCTTAGGTCGCTTTGGTCGTTTCTACCGACCAGTGCCTCAATAAACGCCAGACTGGATGCACTTAAACACCAGAACTAATTACTTGCGCTCTGTGCCTTCTTGTTCTCGCAACTCTCATCTACATGCCCATTGTCCGTCTTCGCGAACATCAACTTTATGCATCAATATTTCTTTGAAAGGTTTCGAAGAACATAGCCGGATAAAATATCTGACTTCGCTTCTCAACAAAATACATTCTAGGTATCTTTTCAAGCTCATTTTGCTCCATAAGAACTTTGGTCCCAATAAAGGTCTGAATCCTGGTCTGAATGACATTAACGATTAAATTGAATGGGATGGATGACGGATGGACGAGGATGACTTAACACTTGTTTTGTAACTACCTAAATTAAAATGTCCCTTGCACTTGCAGTGAAATTATGGGAAAAGTGTTTTTTTATCATGACTTATAACGATTAACGAACATAACTTTAATTTTAGGTGCATTACCGTCCTCCATTTCCGCCTGGATGCTTAATTTCTTTTTACAGCCGAGCCAATAGATACGCTGGTACTCATTCCATCGCGACTAAACCGATGTAAGGAAATGTATAAACGGTGGGGGCCAACAACGTCATTTCGGCGGCACCATCAAAGAGCAGTTTTGTTTGTTTGTTTTGTTGGGTTAGGCCCTTTCGGTCCAATGAGACCATTTCAGAGCCGGGAGGATGATAGGATATAGGGGGAGACATTGGTCTGGGCAGGCACCCTAGTGAGTCGCCGGGGCTGAGCCCGTCCAGAGGACAGGCCACCCAGCCCCAAGGCACTCACTGCACCCGGCTACGGGGTGCGCTCCCTCGGGAGCAGCGGTGCCGCTCCAAGGGAGCAGCCCGCATGAGATAAAGTTGCCTGTCCAGCCCGGAGGGAGGTTGCGGCGTGGAGGAGAAGGATTTCAGTATCCTGAGGATAGATGCACGGAACGGTGAAAGAGCAGTTGAGGATGCCGTCGAGGAGATCGACACCGGGCGGTACATGTCTGTGTAGAGCCACTAGTATCCTAAATAAAAGACTATCCACTTTCTACAACCGCCCTGAGACCGTTTAGGCGTGGTTTAGGCCAGGTCGGTACCTCGCTGGCCCTCAGCCCCGCCGCCCGCCGGCCGACGCCCAGCGCACGTAAATCTCCACCAATCTGTGCATTATGGCGGCGTCGCTGCATTAATTAGTATCGTAAAACACCCTGCGCCTCACAGCGCCCACTTTGGGCGCACTCTAGATAGTTTCGTTTTACAAGACCGGCCTTTCAGACCACAAGAGACTCTCACCGATCGGTGCCGGTCGCTGATTGGCCGGGCGCCGGCCAGGCTCCGCCCCCCGTCTGTATGGCAGCCACTTGGCGGGCTTACTCCGCCCTCTCGGCGGCCCTCCAACGCTCTCCAGGCTGAGAGGGGGCCGGCCGGCGGCGCCCTGAGAGGCCCTGTTGTGTTTCGAAAGGGTGCCCCTGCGAAGCCGAGTGCGGGTCGAGTGGCTCCCACCCCGGCCCGTGCCGCCAGCTGAGGCGCCGTGCACTGACGCGGATTCGGCGATAGTTTGGCTGGCGTGTGTGGTGGCGGTGACCTGCCGGTGACCGCAGCGTAAACGGAAACTTCACACCCGTCTGCCAACGCCAGCGCGACGTAACACCGGTCAGTACCTACTCTTGGAAAATGAACGGCGACCATGAATGGCTTGTTATCCCCAATAAGCTTACTTTGCGCCATATATTGACTCGTGTGAACTGTGATACGCTTTGTCGGGCCAAGGAAATTACTGAACGCTTTGGTGAGAATGCGTAGCGTCCTCCCCGCAGACGCTTTCTTTATTTTTATTTCGCTTTTTGTTTTGATACCGTTTCGTGCTTTAAGCTCATTTGTTTATTAGATATCGCTAGTTTGTTTCATTTCTTTTCGAAGGAAACAACATTTCGTATTGACTTCTGATGCTGCGCTTTATGCTACCTCGGGGCTCGGGATCTGCCAATGGTCATATGGATTGAGGCTAACCGTCTAAAGCTTCCCCGCCCGCTCACGTCAGAAATTGGTGGACATATATTGTTTTCTGACGTATACCTGCCTGACAAAAATAAAACAATAGTTTATAGTTATCCGATGAAACCCGCTGTAGATTGCAAAGCAACGCTATAGGAAGCGAAATTCGATGACGGTTTGTACTTCGAACTTCTTAGTAGACCCCTTCACCCCAAGAGCGTCCAATGCACTTATTTGGATGATGGATCCAGCAAATGGCAATGCTGGTATCCGAACGTCGCGAATAATTGTTATTTGCTATATTGCAGCAGCGTGTCCCCCTATCGCTTAAAAAGGACACATCTGGCAGTTCCGTCTTCTTCGTAGTGTTACCTTATGGTACCGGGATAAACAAGGTTGGAAAAAGTGTAGTGCGACGCTGCATTCACGACCCATGAGCATTGTGTAATGTGTATTTATAGGCACAGATTCACGTTGAATGGTAAGGAAGGACATTGTGCAAGTACCTGCTGAAACTTCGGCAATAGCTCATTAATGCGCGGCGACTTACCTATGTGCCGTCTCCAAATATCCAGCATCGAATGGCTCTCTGTAGTAGCAGGTGGTCCTCTGCGCCTTTGATGGTTAGCTTGGCGGCTAGAGATGACTTTAATCGTCGGAAACGATCGTGCGAATCGAGAAATTTGATCTCGGAATGCCTGGGAAAATTTTGCTGTGGGAAGGAACCAAAATGTTTTGTTATTCTTAAGGGCTAATAAAGGGATTTTCTCTTGTTATCCAACGTCTCTAGTCACTAGTGAGCTTTTAATGCAGGTGTCTTTTATCATCAATTAGCTAATGCTGCCTATGTATACCTTTTTTTGTGAAAAATCTAAGGCAGATATCCTTTACACTATATACTACACTATATACTGTTTACACTATATCCTGTTCAGGCTTTGCAGGAGGATAGGTAATTAGGTACATATTTATGCATCATTCATTCAACAGCAGATGCGTTGTAATAAACGATTCAGTTTGTTGTAATAAAGTCCCATGTTCAAATGAATCAGAGGGCTTATCCTGATGAATCGTCCATAAATGTTAGATGATGAAGGCATGTGTTGACAAAGTCACAGCAGTGACTTATCGATCGTTTTTTTTTTATAAACACCCCACCTCAGCTCAAACCAATTATTTGTAGCTTCAGGAAAATGATTGCCCCGGTGCTAGTAGTCGACAAAGTGGAATGCGATTACAGATGTATTCCAGCCCATTGGAAGCCCGCATGGTGATCCTACTGCGAATGCATGTCCTCCTCGGGCTTGTCGGGAGCGTCTGGAGCCGAATCTTGGGGTCAAAGTAGAAAAAAGCATGAAGGCTAAGGTCGAAAAGGGGAATAAGAAAATGGATAATTTAACAGAAACGTTTTCTCTCAATGGTCAATGCCCTCATGTCCTTGGCTTTGTCGTGCCAGAATCAGATAAACATTTTCCGAAGAAGTAGTTGTCTTATCAGCCAGTACAGTATTGGCCCGAGCGTGTTGCGAAGCTCGGTAACTTGAGGTCCAAACGTGTGCTTAATGTCAATTCTTTTTTATCATGACGTGTCAGGTTTGCACCGCCACGTGTCAGGTATGCTATGTACTATTTCAGGTTTGGTCTGTCTTGTGTCAGCCGTCAGGTTTAGCGATCCCTTATCAGGTCTGTTAGGTATGTCAGCAGGTCTGCAATGTCCCATATTATGTCTGTATTTACCTTACTGTGTCCGGTCCGCTCTAACCGGCCCCCACAATCACCTGTGACAGGGCCGCGTCTGGTCGGAGCGGACCATGAAGATGGCGCTGGCTGGGGGCAAGGCGTCCAGGTTCTCTGTCCGAGACATCCTCAACCTCAGGGAGACGACCTGCGAGGAGCGCTCCACGTCACCCGCCGCGTGCGCCTCACACACAGGTTAGTTCTCTACAGCTGTGTGCATGCTGTCGCTACCTACATAGATTAATGGTCGGCATTGACGTGCGTTATTACACAACTTATCCGGCGTTCTATATACCTACTATTATCTCCGAAATTTAACCTCGTGGTCCGATGGTTAGATATGATTTAGTTCTAACTATCAGATTTGATTAGTTACCCTTAGTTTATTAACAATAATGCAGGGCCTCGGCTAACATGTTAACTGGTGGGCCAAATGGCCCACCAGTGACCCGAAATGGCCCACCAGCCTCAAAGATTTGGCCCACCAGTAATTTTCCGAAAAAAATCTAAGTTTTCACATTTCAAATTGAACTAGCAGATCTTATCGTACATTTTCAGACTGTAAAGTACCCATCGGTGAAACATATTCTTGTGAAAAAACTTCAACCTATTGTTTGCAATATCCTCTTGGGGTAAAAAGTGGAAGAACAGACCAGTTCAGACGGTCGGGGATAAGCCTGCGAGCGATCTCAGACGGCTGGCCGATAGACACGATATAAGCCAGAGTCAAACTAGAGGTAGTGTCGGCGACTTCCAGCCGATTGAAGTCTGCAAGCGATATTAATACTGCCGAATTTTGGCCACGACCCTGTCGCCGAATCACGTCGTGTAGGAAATCGGCGAACTAACCGACAGAGGCGAACAGTTCGCCGACAGAGCCCGATTTACAGAAAACGGATGGGGCCCCCCTAATCGTGCGCGGGTCGAAGCTTATCCATGTTTCGGCGAACATCGCGAATGAATGGCGAATCTGTTGCGAATAGTCGGCGATGCCTTGGCAACAAGTCGACGCACGCAGCGACATGTCGGCGGCGACTCGGCGACTGTTTGGCGATCATGTTCGTTTATTATAGATTCGGCTAACGGCCACGAAATTTTCATTTTCATGAAATATTCGTGGCGGTCGTGACGAACCGTAAAAGTCACGAGATGGACACCGACTGGTCTGCGAAATGCCAAGACCGTGGAAGAAAGATCCCGAATCGGTCCGCGACATAGGATGACTTGCATATTCGTGCACATTCGTGTACCAAAATTCGGCAGTGTAACAAGGGCTTTATGCGTCTTCACGACCGGTATGATGCTTGCAGTCACACATCTGACCAGTCGGACGAATTTCGAACCGTTCACAGTCAGCGTTCCAAAAATTTCTCATTTGGGCTGAAGATGACACTCAAGAATAAGAATGGATAATTTTCCACTCTCACATTTTGGGTGGCTAGAATTTTCCACTCAGACACCCAAGACAAATCGGAAGTTTGGGACACTGTTCACCAGAAGTGTACATAACTTTTTTTAAAGAAAATAGGGTTGCGCACTCACGCGCAGTGCGCTTGGGCTTTTGAGTCAATTCTTTTCCCATGCGACACCAATAGGCTTAAAGGGACAGTATCAATCCATGTATATGGAGCTGATTTTTTTTTTTACTAGCATTTCTTATTTTTCTGAATCAGAAAAACATAGTTTGAGGACCGAACTCGGTGAAAAATATTGCAACCACATTTCATTTTCATGATTCATTTTCATGAGCGAACCACCACTATACAAGCATGGCCGCCAGTTTGGAAGCATGCAAAATTACTACAGAACTGGCGCAGATAATACATTATTGACGCTACGCTTACGCGGTCGTTCTTCTGATTGAGTTGTCCTTAGGGAGAGGTAGCCTTAGGTATTGCCTATAAAAATATAACGTAACAATTGGAGGGAGTGACAACTGGACGTGACAATTGACAATGGGAGAAAATATCACGTGACAATCACGTGATAAACGTCATACATTGGAGGGAGATTGTGATTCAAGCTGGAGGAATTCCTTTGTTGAGCCGCTAGAATCCGAAGGAAACAGCGGAAATTGCCTACGACTATTTAATGAATTTAACGGTGATGAATAAGTGCGAAAAACGTTTTGGCTTTATAAAATTTGATGAAATGACCAGGGTAAAAGTTTTATTACTGGCGGTCAATTCAAAACGGCGCAAACATTTAAACAGTGAAGATAGTGAAGCACGATTCAAAGTGTGGTACACCTTTCGTACTTTGAGCGGCGATAGCGGGATAACGGTGTGGAGCTTCGAGGATCGGTCTTCAGTTCCCGGACCAGAAAGGTGGGGCCTATGCAATGTCAAATTTCATCAAAATGGTGATACTGTCCCTTTAAAGGGACTATCCCACCTTCTAAAATGTTGTTAAAACCAGTTAAATTGTGCCCGACTTTATAGATTGGATGACCAGGAACACGGTTCTGGCATTTATTTTTCATTAAACATCTTAGGCTTCCCATATTCCAAACACAAACTTTCAAATATGTGACGTCACAGCCCAAAATTACCTCCTTCCCCAGGCCACATTACTGTCATAAAGCTGATTCTTTTTACTCTGTAGGCACCACAACAAAGTTCAGACCAAGTTTTAAGCGATTTTTCAACGAACAAACCCATTTAAATCAGAATGACTAAACGAGGTGACGTCACACTAACGGTCACTCCATGTTGAAGATAGGGCCTTGTACAAGGCCCATTTTCAAATGAAGGGAACGAATTTCTTCAACACCAAGAGGCCGCGGGGGTTGCAACCTAGATAGATAGTGGTTTCTGAACCTCGCCGCAAACTTGGCTATCTCAACTCAAACCTCATGTTAAAGGTGGGATAGTCCCTTTAAAATGATCATTTTCAGAGATGTTGGGGCGCTGCTACAGCCCTCTTTTGGGGTTCCTGCTACAACCCACTTTATATATAAAGTTGCACTCGTGCTGTTCACAATTCCTCCCGATCCACCCGACAACGCCCGATCTCTTCCGACCGCTTCCGAATCTCCGACTAGTCGGCGAGCGATCCACTCAGGGTTCGCTGATTTTTAACATCCGACCGGCCGTAAGTTATCGTCCAAAGTTTTATAATCTGCGTCAATATTTTGTGCATACTTGTGCGATTTTACATATGTGCACTGCCGGAGTATCACCGCTGAGAGGGTTGTGGGTCCCTTCTCTCTCCTCTCTCTGAAGAGTCGGGGGGGGGGGGGGTCGAGCCACGTTTTTTACATTTTTTTTAATGCCATCCTGACTTTTTTGCCGAATAAAGTGGCCGAAATCTGGGGAGAAATCGAAAATTGGGGGGGGGGGCTATGACTACGAAGGGCAGTCCATGTCGCTGCCCAAGTGGCCCACCAGTCAAAATTCCTTAGCCGAGGCCCTGCAATAATGTCAAGATTCTGTTGAAAATTGACGATTGTATTTCCTCGCGAAGTTTAGAGTTTCAATAGGAGTGCATTGAAGTCAAATTAGGGTCACGTGCCGCGTTTGTGCACCATGTCCATGTGTCTACCCACCCTGCCTTGGCAGCACTCCTGGGAACAACTTACCCAGCCTTTAGTCATTGCAAAAGTCAGTGATCATTTGCTAAAAGCACATTTGTCACTTGAAATCAATGTTATGCGGTGCAGCTAAAGGGGACGTCAATTTAATGAACGACATTTGCTGAAGATGGTTGGGTCTAGCCCTAAGTTATTGCCTAATGAACACGGTGTATTAGCGCAACTAATGACATTGAAGTGCCGCAATCGGCAGTGATATTTTGTGAACCCAGCCACCCTGCGGACCCCGTATCCATTATCACAGCCATTCGAAAACCACATCTAGGACACTCTTGTGCACAATAACTTATTGCCGCCTTAATTGATGGCTGGGAGACACAGCCATTATCAAATTAAAGCCCCGGGGGCAGCACTCGTAAACTAGATTTGCGCCACTGATCGATCATCAAAATTAGCCCTACACCGCTCTGCTGACCCTCAATTAGAAGTAGGAAAAATACTGTGATTGAGCATAATCTTAATAGGAATGTAATAGAAAGTTGCTAAGTTGATTGGCATTGTTGTATTTTTGTATACTATAAACTATTTCATTTATTTCGGTTTAACCTCATTATGAATTTGAAACGTGATGTGGAAGCTAAATAAGTTTTTCAAGAAATTAGGGACTAAAAGAACTTAAATTTGGGGCTTAAAGCATTAGAACACGAAAATCGCCTTCATCTATGCGCCCCGACCTCTTGGCTCCCTAATGTTGCGGGCTTATCAACGGCACGAAGGCCGCAAGTCAGCAGGACCTCAGAAGGGCTGGAAGGTAGGACCACTTAGCCTGAGCGGTCCAACCAACCCTGACAGAGCAGACCTGCGAGGGGTCGGACCATCCCCCTCAGGACAGCCCGCCGAAGCCAGAGACTGACGAACCCTAGTCGGACAATTCACTAGGGGGTCGAACAAACCCCCGACGGGGCAGTTCACTGAGGGGTCAGTCCGCTGAGCGTTCGGCCAATCCACCGAGGGGTCAGTCCAGTGAGGGGTCAGTCCACTGCAGGTCAATACACTAAGCAGTCAGTCCATCGCGAGTCAGTCCACCGAGGGGTCAGTCCATCGAGGAGCCAGTTCAGTGAGGGGTCTGTCCACGGAGGGGTCAGTGTCCACCGAAGGAACAGTCCACCGCAGGTTCAGTCCACCACGGGTCAGTCCACCACGGGTCAGTCCACCACGGGTCAGTCCACCACGGGTCAGTCCACCACGGGTCAGTCCACCACGGGTCAGTCCACCCCGGGGTCAGTCCACCCCCGGGGACATGACAGTCCGCTAAGCGCGGGCGGACGGCCGCAGCGCCCCATCACTCCAACCATTAGCCGCGCGCCACTAATGTGACGGCCCCTAATTGGCTCGGCCAGTGGGCCGTGCCTGCCGTGGCCCTAATTGATCCATTGTGGCCCCCATCGGACCACCGTCGCACGGCCTCACGATTTTATTAACACGTCATATCGAAACCACCCATAATATCGAAAAGACTCATTTATTTGGCGGTGGCACGCTGTCAAATGGCCTGTTTTGATCGGAGCCGCTCGCCGTCCCCATTTATGGGCGGCGGCCGCGGCGCATTTAAGACAAATTGAGAGTGGTGGCCGCTCTCACGGTGGCCGGACGCGGCATTTTTCATGACTGGGCCAATTGCCCGATGACCATAAATTCGTGCCGATTACGCCAGAACGGAGATTTCCTGGACGGTCACGTGACTGCGGCGGCCGCGAGCGGTGGCGGTCATGTGACCGGGGACGATTTGTGGCTGGGCGGGGTCGACCGGCACGATATAGGCCATCAGCCAGTGAGCACACGGCTTCAGGGTGCATTGCGTCAGTGACCGCCGCTAGGCATACTCGGTATCGCCCGGAGGGCGAGCGGCCTGTTATTGCCTTCATTTTATCGCGCTCTTACAGGCTTTCGACGCCGTTTAGACCAAGAGACACGGGGAATATTGTTCGAATAACGACACGATGCCCGGTTTGTTATCTTTATTTTTCACGTTTTATTCTTGCAAAAAAATCGTGATAGGTAACAAGGCAGCTTTGTATTTAATCGTGTATGGCCCATGCTCAGTTGTCAAATGATATCGCGGTACTCTCCAGCCCGTCGAAAGGAAAAGCAAGTGAAAACCAATACAAGGGAGACTGATCATTTTCTGATAAGTAGCGCTATATATCCGTCCTTGCTCGTTTATGATTCTTAGGTGTTTATTTAACCCGCAACTTGGACGTGCCGCAGGTGAAGATGCAGATTACACATGCTCCTCTGCTGGAGCGGTTTTCCCACGTCAAACAAATTGGTCTTTCCTCAGACGTGAGACGTCACTTGAGTTGACACAGCCGCACAAAACATTGATAGGGAAAGATGTGTCAAGATTTAAAAACGTACCCTATGAAGGATTACATCAAATATAACTTTGGGAATTTTCAAGTACAAGCTACATATGTATAGACAGGTGCCTCTCTTGTTTGACTAAATCTCGCCGACCGTTTCCAGTAGAAATGAATAGCTATTGACCGTGAAAGTTACACGAAAGTTGACATTTCTGGTCGCCAACGGTTACTCATTTGCCTGTAGCGCGGGATTTACAGCAAACGACACATGATGCGTCAGTGCGTACTGCGCATATCGATCAGACTGGACTGACCCCATGTCGCTGCCGCCATTTCACAATCTGTGTCATTTGATTGCGTTTTGGGCTTAGTACGAACGGTCAGGATTGGGGAAGCGGCGGTCGTATTTACTAACTAATTATCGAATATCGTTATCCTTCAGTCTTCACCCTCGCTGACTCCGCTGGCAATTATCCACCCTTCGACATGAGGGGAGAGGAGAAATGGTTTGTTTACTTTGCCCTTATTTCCTAATCGACCTCGAGCTTCTTGAAAATTGCGTGCGTGCTGCTGTCCACGAGCGGAGGGCTACGGATAGGGGCCCAAAATTGTAGGCCCCAGTCATAAGTAAACTGGTACCAAAAACCCTACATTCGAATGTTAAAATGACTCAGTTATCGTCTTGAAATAGATGTGGGTATTGTATGTGCAATATGCATACATATGTATGTACATATGTACAATAAACATGCTTCAAAGTGACATGACACACTTCTTTTACACGGTTCATTTCCTTCCCAACTAAGCTATTCAAACAGTCTCAAACTGTCACGGTACAGCAGTTCACCATCAGAGCTCAGCCGGCGTGAAATGTTCATTATGTTTGTTAAATGAAATGTCTGGAGGGATTTTCCCACCTTCTAGCCTAGTGCTGGGGCTCAGCTCACGGATTAACGAAGAAGGCCACAGCACACCCACGGTGGACTCCATCTCGGAGGAGCTGAGGCGAGAGCAAACGGCGACATTTAGATACAGCTCACGCTAACTGCACATTAAACAATTTATTATTTCACGTGTACATATGTATATGCGAACCACATGTGATCGTTGGTGCAATAACAGGAGCTTTCAGAAAGGTAATGCTGGGCGCTGGCTCTTAGGAAATTATTCCCGGCAGCATTCATTCCCCATGGCTTTTGAAAAGAAGTCGTATGTTTCTGAGCGGACAAGCGTGGTACCGGTGACAGCTCGTTGCTTGCTTCGAATTCCCGTAGAGACGGCACTGCTCTGGACGGTCCCAAGGGCAGTCCATTTCGGACAGTCCCAGGCTGCCAGTGGCAGTCCGTGCTGGACGATCTCGGACTCCCGTTAGGGCTGTCGCTTTGGACAGCTCCAGACTACCTCTGTCAGCCAGCCCTTCCGTGCCGATCGGAAATGGTCAGTGACGCTCATCTATCCGTTCCAGGGGCGTCTGGCCACTGCACGGCTCGTGACCACGAGTCGGAGAGACTCGAGTTCTCAGCTGCGGCCGACTGCTCCGACCGAGAGGAGCAGGACGGCAGCGAACTGGGCGCCAACGAGGCGGCCGATGACGCCGGCGATGACGGACCTGATGACGGCGGTGACGGAGCCGATGACGGCGGCGGTGACGGACCCGACGGCACCACTCTGCCGGCCAAGAAGCGGAAGCGGCGCGTGCTCTTCAGCAAGGCTCAAACGTACGAGCTGGAGCGCCGGTTTCGGCAGCAGCGCTACCTGTCCGCGCCCGAGCGGGAGCACCTGGCGAGCCTGATCCAGCTGACACCCACCCAGGTGAAGATCTGGTTTCAGAACCACCGCTACAAGACGAAGCGGGCGCACCAGGAGAAAGGTCTGAGCCTGCTGCCGCTGGGCTCGCCGCGCCGTGTGGCCGTGCCGGTGCTGGTCAGGGACGGCAAGCCGTGCCCGGCCGGCGCCGTGAAGCCCGACCCGGTGTTTCCGGTGCCGCTGGAGCTGCTACCGTTCGCCGGCGTGCCCGTCTCGTCGGCGATGATGGCGCAGATGGGCGCGCTGCCCGCCTACGGCCACCCGCTGATGGCGCCGCGCTGGTGGTGACACACGGTGCACTGGTCCCAGCTGCTGGCCGCCGCTGGTCAGGGGGCGCGGGAGCCGCCGCAGTGAGGTCCGCCCCGCCGTAGTGAGGTCCGCCCCCGCCTGCAGTGAGGTCCGCCCCGCCTGCAGTGAGGTCCGCCCCGCCGCAGTGAGGTCCGCCCCGCCGCAGTGGGGCCGCCGCCGCCGGCCCCCCGCCCGCCGCTGGTTTGTGATACGGGGACGCAGCAGACGCGGCTCCGCACCGGCCGGTGACTCTCGTTGTTGAACTCAGTCGAGACGAGTTTGTGAAATATTTATTACAGAGAACCCGGGCATTGGACACTGCACGTGCAAAGTGCCTTTGTCGAATTGTTTTATTGTCAACTGTGTCAACTAGTTTACTCGGAGGTATTTGCCCTGGTTCCTAGATGTTTCCATTAGTACAAATCTCATCAAACGCATTGGATGTGCCAGCGCCACGACATGATATTATAGTTAACCAAATCAGGCCACTTCAATGTCACGCCGGCTAGCCGCGTTTCGAATTCCCCGACGCTATCCGACGCGCGGGCATACCCAGCTTATCGTTCCACATTCCGATAGTTTAGTGAAAACCTGTGATGGTCCGCCGCCGATATGGCGTTAATCCGGCCGTTTCCGGGCCGGCTCGGTTCTGTTCGGGATGGATCTGAGCCGCTCAGAGCGATCTCCCCCGGCGGTTAATGTCCTGTCACAGCTCGTAGAGTCCTCTGAGCGGCACCGATCGGCCCGCCGGGAGGCCGGTGTCCGTCACAGTCACACTGTCTGGCAGATATTATTGAGAAGCGATGCTAGTCGATTACGGCCGTTGTGCGCCGGCCGCCGGGACGCGCCGGCCGCCGGGAGCCGCTGAAAGCCGCGCCGGCCCGGCCCGGCCCGGCCCGGCCCGGCCCGGTAAGGCCGACCCGTGGAGGCAGCCAGTCTCTCCTGCTGCCGCCGCCGCCGCCGCCGCCGCTGGCTGAGACCTATGTGTGTAGATGGTACTTGGTGTGGACATGTGTATTTAATAAATCATTTGCGAGTGATGACAAATGTGTTTGTTGATTTTTTTTTTCCTATCCGTATCACGTCAGTACTGACAAGTTGTTATAGCCTAAATAGTGGTGCTGATTAAGCATGTAGAGCAAAACACATTAGGTAGTCCGAGATTTAACATTATCAATCACATTCCACAATGCACATTTGATACAAGTAGGAACCTAGCATTATCACGACGCTAACAAAATCATAATCCGCTAACGTAGTTCTCACTACCTGAGTCAGAAGTTCTAAATGCCAAATGCACCTTTGAATTTTATTGCTTGGTCAACACAAATCATGAGCGGAAACACACATCACTCCTATCAACCTTGTCTATTTCATTTTCTTTTCGATCTCGCTTAGAGATTAGATACTGATTATGCTAGCCGGCTTGATTTCGCATTTCAACAACATTTCATATGGATTATAAAAACGAAGCTCACTTTCGTTTGCAAAGGCATTCTAGCACTGGTTAGTAGTTACCAGTTAATGCTTCGCTTATGTCATGTCACCCTTTCTAGCATTTTTCCTTGAGACGTTTATCCGCTGCAAACACTATGGAAATATTGTTTCTTTGATAGTTGAGAAAAGTCTGGAGAAGTGGGTGATAACATTCGGCATTATTGCTTACTTTGGAACTTACTACGTCAAGATCTCTTTGATCCAGATAGATCAGAAGAATGACGGGGTGTTCGACGTGCCTCCGTTCTCCCTCTACCGTTTTCCCGTGATCTCTCCCATCCTATCGTCCATCCCGGCCTGTGCTGTCATTTCGCTCTCGTACTGTGATCTTCCCTACGCTAGTTGAAATCTCCACTGTCCTGTTGACCTCTTCTCTATCCAGTCGTCTTTCCCCGTGTGCCGATGTCACCCCTGTTCTGTGATGCGCCCACCCCCTGTTCTATGATCTCTCTCCCCCGTTCCCTTATGACATTTCCCTGCCCCGCGCGCTCCCGGGCGGCCCTGCCAAGGCGGGCGTGGCGACGCACGCCGCCCAAGAGTCGACGTTTCCTCCGGACAACCAGTCTCCCCAACGGAGAGCGACAGGCAACGACAATCAGCGAAATTACTCAGCGACGGCAATGAATTGGAAAATCCTGTGTCCGGCAGTCTAATAGATAAATAACGTAAATAAGGCCGCCGCTCAGTAAAAAGCCGGCCGTCTGTCCGGAACCGTCGCCGGCGGCGCGATGGCTCGGAAGGCGGTAAATTGCGGCCGAGCGACGGAGGCCCGTCAGCGGCGTCCGCCGCCGGCCCGAGCGCTATTCAGAGGAGCTCGGCTGAGGGACAGGCGCGTCCCGCCCGGAGACGGCCGAGCGACGGCACGGCACGGGACGGGACGGACGGGCCGCCGCGCCGGCAGAGGGAAGACGGCACGACAAATATTAAAACTGATATAAATCGGGGGCGCTGCCACGGCCGGACGGCTAGAGGGGACGGATGTCGGTAAAAGTCGACTGTTGTCTCTTTCCATGCAACACCCATAGATGCAATTCTAGAAAGTAAAGTCCACGATCTGATCCTCAACTGAGGATTGCTGTTACATCCAGAGGCAAATTGGCAATCAGACTGTATGGACCTTGGGCATGTCGATGACGGTAAGAATACTAAATCAGATAGACGACGAGTGAAGAGAAGCGTTGGTAGAAGAGAAGCCCAAGCCTTCGACTGCTCGCGGAGAGCAGCGATTGTTCCCAATGCAGTTTGGCTCGGTTTAGATGCGGGCGCAGCCTTTTGTCATTCGGCATTCCGACAGCGCCAAACGGCCGCTGGCAGGAATGACGCGGTGTATGCAGTGGCGTGTGACCGTATTGATCGGTGCGACGCCGCCGTCCCGGCACCAGTGAATCGGACCCGGCGCGGCGGCCGGCGTAAAACGGTGCACCCGCCACCCCCGCAGGCAGCCGCGGCCCGACCGCCGTGTTCGACGGGCACACAACATAGGCTACAGCACAGCGGATATTTTTAAATAATTTCATAGGCACAAACTTACATTGTGGCATCAACGCCCAAAGTACAAATGTGTTGCACGTTGAATTCCTACAAGTTGCAATATCGGCCTCGGGATTCGGTGGTAATTATTCACAATTCATACACAAACAGCTAAGTAGGCGATTTGATATTGCCAAGAAACACGAAACTCTCGAATTTGTTTAAAATTCACGAGATTCATTCCAGAGGCATTAATTCAAAATTAAACATCCAACTGTCGCTAAACATTCCACCGATGGCATATGCAAAAATGAATATAGAATTATCGTAGGACATTCGTCAGAAATTTAACCCTCGCACGACCAGGCCATTTCTCATAACACGAACGACCAGGGGGGGGGGGTTGTTACGACCCCCCCCCTGGCGTTTCGAAACGGAAGGTCGTAGAGCTTAGCGGAAAAAACCAACGGATTGCTCTCAACGAGATCTCGCGATTGGTGGTATATTTTTTGGTCCTAGGTCAACATTTGACCTACTTTTGACCGGTCAAAGGTCAAATTTTCGGAAAAATAGACTTTTTTCAACTTTCGGCGGCGATTGCGGCAAAACGGTGGGAGATATCGACTTGAAACCTTCACTATCGTGTTCCTTGATCAATTCTCTATCGTTTGGTATGTATTTCGTTTCCCTAGCTCTAAAAATGGCGCGTTGGGAGCGCCGGAAGTCGGCAAGGTCACAGTCGGCGGCAGAAATTCGAAAAATCAAAATTTAAATTTTTGAAATCTGATTGTATTTTTGGATTTGGGAGGTCCATTTGCTCCCTATAGAAGCTAATATTGCTCCTTATTCCCATTGAGGTGACAAGAATTAGCAAAATAGTGGTTCGGGCGCTTTTCAAAAATAGTACCGGACGCTGTTCCACTTGTGACGTCATAGCTCCGTGACCTGACCTGACCCGGTCAAATTTCTTATACCATATGACAGCCAATACTTGCCCCAACATGCATGGGAAGTTTCATCACGATCCATCAACCGATGTCCGTACCACCGGCAGGAAACCTCGGGCGTTGGCACTCAGTTTGTGAAAATCCGGCCGGAGGCTGTACCTCTTATGACGTCATAACTCCGTGACCTGACATGACCCGATCAATTTTTTTTCGGCAAAAGATGCGCAAAGGTTGCCCCATAGGGTATTGAAAATTTCAGCCCGCTACGACAAGCCGTTTAGCGTGCACTTCGAAAAAACCTCAGGGGGGGAGGTTGATACAACCCCCCCCCCCTAGGCGTTCTAGGGTTAATAACAGGAAAAATGAATATTGACTCCAAACAAGAAAATAGTCCTTTCCCTCGTTTAAGGATGACAGGCTTTTTGAACGGGTTGATCTAGTTTTGGTGGCCTTTTATTTGAACAATTGATTGCTCATCATTGCTATGCAGCTTTGGTTGTGGGTCGCTGGTGGGGATCACACCAGTTATCAATTCAATTCCGATGCTGTTTATAAATCGTCATAGATGAGTAGATAAATTTAACAATGAATTTATTTTGAGACTGTCTTTTCCTCACATGAATGCCTTCCCTCACCCTGTCGGCTATGCATAAAATGTTTCCAGATGGGTCACAGCGACCAACCGTTAGTTCTGCACCTTTTGTTTTTCTTTCAATTTTGTTTGTAGGATGTTAAACGCTAGGTGAAAAGGTTAAACGTGATCGGTTACAATTTTCGGCGATTTTTTATTTTGAATTGATGCAGGTCAGCATTGAGTTCAGAAAAATTGGGCTATGTTTATTGCCACCCTTGTCGTTCGAATATTTGAACGACAAATCCAATTAGTTTCAGACAAGGAGACAAATACAGCATCGAATATTTTCTAATCAGCCGTGCCATAAAGAAGGTCATGATATTGCAGCAGTGACTCGCGCTCAGCCCTGCGTCATCCGACCCCCGCCACTCATTCCCCAGCTCCGACCCTCTCCGCTGCATCGCACACGCGATAGCCGACGCCTGCCGCGAACAATAATTGGACTGGTGAGCACGTGCAGCCGATTACAGCACGTGCCACGTGCCACGTGCCGTGGCCGGCCGCGGGCTGTAACTGCGGCGGAATGGTGGCGGCGGTACGCGCCGTGATTGTCTGCTCAGAGGGGGGGGGGGGCAGTGACATGAACTGAACTGAGACCAGTGAACGACAC